CTGCCTGCTTGTGGTGCGCCCCGACAGCTTGCTGCTGCATTGAACAATGCTTAGAGACAGCTTAGTAACCTCACAAGATGGCAAGTTTCATCCAGTTGAACTTTGACCCGTGTGTGTTTGTAATAACTYTTCCTTAAACAAAGGATTCTAGCTGGGCACGTGTTCCTTTTGCCTSTGAATTCTCAAATATTTACTTTTACACCTTAAAAGAGTTCCAATTCARTTTTTATTTGCACAGAAGGAAAAAAAACTGCTCCATTAATTTGGATCCAAATGAATGGCATCATAGAGTGCCAATGAAGAAGAGATCAAATAGAGTTTGTTATTTGCTGCTCTGTGATTACAGTGACAAAACAGCAGGCAATCAGTCAAACATATTCCACTTAGATTACATGAGCACTGATGAGTGGGCAGTGTTTTACTGACTTATACGCATTCAGGTTCACTGATTTCAATCAAACTCAACTTCATAACTGTAATTTATCTGATTTTATCCCATTGGTGACGAATGGACACACTGTGTGTGTCAATGTCCCTTGAGCTGCTAAAATTAACAACAGAACAAAAGATATTCAGCAAAGGTCATTAAAATTAAATAATGTAAGTGTGAACTCTGTGTTTTCATCGCTTGCTGTGTCACGTCTGCACACAGTTTCTATGAAAAACATTCCTAATGAAACATGAGAAAGATTTTCTAATGCTTCTGTCTTTTTATAACTATATAAAACACCATCCATCCATCCATCCATCCATCCATCCATCTATCCATCCATCCATCCATCTATCCATCCATCCATCCATCCATCCATCCATCCATCCATCCATCCATCATCTTTACTCATTTTTTTCCTTTCGGGTCGCAGGGGTCACTGGTGCATATATCCAGCAGTCACTTTGCAAGGGGCGGGGGACACCCTGGACAGGTCATACGTCCATTACAGGGACACATAAGGGAAAAACAAGACCAATACTGATGGGAACTCCACCTCAGTTAGACAAGAAGGTTCAGTCTCTCATTATTTGCAAATTTGCAACCATGTACAGTGAAACAACTCATTGACAAAATAATCAAGAAAATAAAAATGTACAAAAGAAAAAGACAAAGCAGCATTCAGGTTACAGTTTGGGACAGTTTTAGTGAAGACTGGCATTTAGAAAAAACAGTGGCTCACAATCAGGTGCCGACGTGTCGTTCACGACTGACCCAACCCTAGAGACAAACAACTATCTACTTCCTCACTCTTACCCAGGGACAACTTGAAATTACCAATTAGCCTAGCATGCATGAAATTGGAGTACCTGCAGAAAACCCATGCATGCACAAAAAGAACATACAAACTCGACCCAGAAAGGTCCTCGGCTGGGATTAGATCCAGTAAACAGCTTGCTGAGAGGCAACAGCTCTACCAACTGAGCCACCACCTGTAAAACACCAATTTGTTAAATTCATACAATAAATTAAAGGCCTATTCTTCAAAGGAACACATATTGTCAGAGTTTTAGACTAAAATCATATTTTGTTGAGCAACAACAGAAACACAGCCATTTCAGACATCCTTTGAAAATAATGATAGACTCTATCCCAAGTGATGGCAACACTTTACACTCATGTGTTGTAAATTACTGTCAGCTACGACCTGAACAAATTCTAGCTCAATATTTTTAAAATTAACTGAGTCATTGCATTTTTATGTTCAATAATTTGTATCATCTATCTTGAATTGCATCATCTCTAAAAGTTAATCCCAACTGTAGACGTACATCTAATGACTGCTTTTTATAGTTTGATGAAAACACATTCAGTAGTTCATCAAATATTTTGCTAACAGAACAGACAAATGAACAAAACACAGACATTATCACCCTTTTGTTTTCAGCATGGACAATATAWAATAAGACAGCCTTTGTAGACCTGGAACAAGTCAGATGAGCTCAAATGTTTCTGTTGTAGTTCAACTTTACAACAGTAATGCAAGAAAAGCTGTAGATAATCCTCCACCAGCTGTCAATGAAATAAAAAAGAGCTGTGGTWAGCCTTACTTGAAATCAGACACCCAATGAAATAGAAATAAAAAGAAAAAAATCATGGTAAGCGGCTCCATGTGAGTAGAACATGACTTGGACTTAATGAACTGCAGACTGAGAGTGCACTTTATGTAAGCTGCAGGAGGTGACAGTTCAGGGGAGGAGCGGGAAAAAGGAGAAACTGGCTAAAGTGTTTGAGGAGGCGGTAATAAAAAATAAATAAAAGAGAGAGGGGTCGTAATACAGTGTGATTGTGTTTTTAGCAGATGATGGGACTTGCTGAAAAGATGTATTTCATTAACAGTGATGTGATGGTGGGATGGAGCAGGAGATGAGTAGACCTGCTGCTCGTCCACATTGAAAGGAATCAGTTGAGGTGGTTCAGGCATCTGATTAGGACGCCTCTCTTTAGAGGTGTTCCAGGCACTTCCCACCAGTAGGAGGCCCCAGGGAAGACCCAGAACTTGCTGGAGGAATTATGTCCTYTTGAGCCTGGGAATGCCTCGGGGTTCCCCAAGAGGAGCTGAAAGGTGTTGTTGGGATGCCTGGAACTCAGGTTTGAAGAAAGTTTGATTAGTTGTGACTAGCTTGACAAACTAATGGCACTGCTAAGCTAGAGACTGCTATGAGTTAGAATTATTAACAACAAAGAAACGTAATTCTTCTTATAACATCATAAAGAAAGAATCTGATCATTTTTGACCACTTTTTTTGTCTTTTTTGTTTTATCACTATTGTCAATATTTMTTTCAAATAAATGCTACTCATCTTTGCTTCTACTTCTCCTTCTTTTCAAATTGAGGGTGGGCATGGTCGATTTTCAGCTGACATCCAACTTAAAGACACAGTGTTGCCACCTACTGGACTGGAGTGTGACACAGTAGATTCGCAGGGTAAAATAAACAAAATGAAACTACAAAAAAAAATTAAAAATGATGACCACATGGAGACCACCGGCTATCCTGGAACACTGACCAGTCCCTGATTCTTCAGAACTCACAGRTGGACAGTCCACCCCTGGTAGCTAGTACCTCGTCAGCTGTGATATCAGTGACAGAGCATGGAGTGTGAAGAAAAGGGCAAAAGCCTTGGTCCAAGTGAGGGTAGTGACCAGCGAAATTAAAGTTTTGTTTGATACCATTTGTTTAGTTTGTCACTGTTTTCTCAACCAAACAATGTTGGCGTTATTGCACAAATGTATATATGCTGAATCTAGACATTATGTAATTGGTGCTGAAACTACTGAACATATCAGTCATTAATTACAGAAGAACACGGACATTGGTTGAGAAAACAGCAAAAAATGAAACAATGTCATGTAAGAAGTTTAAAATGTTGCTAATGTAGCATGCATTCACACCAATGTGACGTGTTTTAAAATTTCATTTAGCTAGTTATTAACCCAGCTGGTCTTCAGGAGGAAGACTTTTACACTTTTCTTCATGCTGTGTGGCTTATGTCACGGCTGATAAGCTGYAAACTACTATTTGACAGAACATCACTTGAAAAATGACTAAGACATGATAACAAAGATGCATTTCTTTTTTCTAATACTAATTCATTGCAGTTCCAGCTTAGCACTGAAAGCCATCATCATCTAAATAACTCTGTTTACTYTATGGTAAATCATTTGCATTTCAGCTAGAATTAAATGGAAATGYTAAAACAAGGAGGCAGGAAAGTGTTGAAGAGGCAGTGGTTGTTAACGTTCTGCAAGCTGCTGCACAGGCAGAAAGAAGGTTATTGGTTCATCTACCTGAATTTATGGAAACTTTTTTTTTGCTCACACATTTTATTTCTTCTGTTGTTAATAAACAAAGAAACAAATCCACAGTGAAGCTTTTCCMCGGACCATCTGCACCTAAAACCTTTCCCATGTAGGCCCACCTTCACCTGATTGTGCTTTCAGAGAATTGTTATTCATGAATTTTCATTAAGTCCTCTCAAGGAGTGCGCAGAGTTCAGCAGCTGAATTAGACAAAATTGTTTTCAACTAATCTTCTTATTATAGAGAAGAATAAACTGAGTCGCATCACTTCCTAAAAGAAGGATGTAACCTTTAAAAAGATGAAGCTTTAAACTTGAGCCTCTGAACGGTGACAGCACTGGAAAATATAACAAATCACATGAAGAGGAGGCTGAAAAGCCATTTCTAGATCAAATCAGCTTTACATAAAGCTTCTGTGATCCAATAAAACCAGTAAGCACAACAAATAGTACTTCACAATAAATGTCCCACAAGTATTTAAAGTAWATGCTGTTTCATCCTTCTTTAGAAAAGATTCTATTTGATGAACGTCTGCAACTAAAACTTTGAGGAAATACATGAAAACAATTTTGCTGCATAACTTTTTGGGACTCGAGTGTTCAAGTTAAGTTGAACAATGTGCATTCATGCTTGTGTATGTTCTATTATGTATGAAAACATTTTTTCCATCATGTTGCTTTGAGCATTTCTGGTTGTACGAGTGCATTCGTATTTTTGCGTGAACGTGTTACTATTACTCAGTATATTAATATCATTATTGCACATGGATGCGATGCATCTTTTTCTGTTTAATTGACATAATTCAGACCACACTGGCACATAAAATGAACATGGGTCTTTGAATCAGCGAAGTGCTTGTAATGTAATAAGCACTCTCTTCTAAATGGAGCCTTGACTCCATTTAAAAGAGGGCAGAAAATATGTGTGCACTCTTGCTTAAGGCTTTCATCTTGCATATAAATCACTCCAGCTCAAAGTGGGTGTTTGAGCGGCACCRATTTCAGGTCTTGGGGCGCAAAGCTGTTTTACCGGCCAAGTCTCCATTAATGACAGAGCTCTGCCTTGACAGCATGATGTAAATTWAGCCAATTCTTAATATTCTGAGTGCTGATGAATGTTGGCATGGAGGCTTTTCTGGCTGTTTTAAAGCCTTATATGTAACTCTCTCTCACCCCCTCTTCTATTTTCTGCTTTCTGTTCTGTCTAGATACCACGGCAGCTGAATCCCCTGACTCTGTACAGGTATGAGCAGTCAGTTCTGGATTACTGTCATGCCCACCTGTCGCTGCACCACAATGTGGGCATGGAGCCCTCCACTCGGGAGCTAGGAGGTTCAGGGCCAGCCTTGTACCACCCGGGCCTAAGGGCTGCCGTCCCCTCTGAGCCTGCGCTGCCTTGCCCCCAGACTCCCACCACCGGTGAGCCGAGCCGTGTACAGCGCTGAGGCTCCGTCTCTGAACTCCTGTATCTCAGCAACACAGAATCACCGAACTGTTCAAAGGAAACAAAGGTTGTACGGGAGGAAACTGGGACAGGAAAACGAAGCAGAGGAGACAGCTAATCTACTGCAGCACATTCTGAATGCAGGGTAATGAAAATGAAACAATTTTCCAGTGGAAATAAAGGAGCGCAGCAGTATTGATTAGCTAGAATTTCACCTAGTCAACCCAAAATGTCCTCAATTAGCAAAGCGGGCTGTAAAGCAGCATGACTCCCCACAATCTGCCTTCCTCTTGAGGAGTCTTAAAGATAATAAATTAATGATTTCTTTTAATCCTATTAAACACTTTTCCTTGACTTCTCATGATCTGGGCACCTCTCTGTTGTGCAGGTGAAGTAATCAAATGATTAATGCTCCAAACAGAGCAGGGACACAATGTGATAAGCAGGCGAGAAGCAGAACAAATGAAAGGGTGGCTAAAAGCTCAAAGTTTCTCTGCTGCAGACGTTTCTCTCTGGCTCACAGCATTTTTCATTTGGAAAAATGAGACGCTCAGATGAAATGACCTAAACTTGGAAAAAACACATCAGAATATAGCAGATGGTAAACGCCATATAAAATGTACAGCCGCCCCAAATTACTGGCAGYAACTCCAGTTTTTATGGAGACTTGTGATGTCAAATGTTGGTCACATTTGAGTTAGTCTAACAGAGATGGAAAACACAGAAAGCTGCACTGTGACGCTTTGGTATTTCATCCCTCATTGGAAATACTTGTGTGGTTAATTGGTTTTATTTCATTATGCATCATTAAACCAATAATCTGACTGTACACTCATATWGCTACACGTGTGATTTTTACAAGATGTTACATTATACTATATGGTGAATAAACTGTGAGAAATGACCAGTAATGGTATCATTTATCAAGATCAGTGGGATTGAACCAAACGACTGTCTGCTGTATTTAGACAACTGAGTAGGTGGATGAAACTGAAGAGCAATGTGCTGAAGGCGAGACTGTTTAACAACAAGATGTCTTGTTTTCGCATTAGTAACTGACCCCCACRAGAACTTTCACTTGCTTTTCTTCTCTTTTTGTGACTGTGTGTGACCATTATCTGATGTAATAAAGTAAACTGGACTCTCAGAACTTTTATGTTGTTTCCGGGGAAAGAAAACTTTAAATCTACAGATAGCAGCTCCACAGTCTCAGACACACACATTAAAATGGACTAAGATAATGATGGGAGCTAAATGTAATATGATGTTATTTTTAGTTGTTTATAAACCATGCACATTGGAGCAAAAGTCAAAAAGTTGGAATAAACTGTCTTCARCTATTGTTGAATGGGTGTCCTGGTCTTACTCGGCACACAATGATGAATGTGGTTATAACAGTAGTTTTACCTGTTTCACCTGTGACCCAGGGTTACTAAGGCTGTTTTTTTATGTAACCCTGCAATACATTTCATATATTGGCCAAGTTTTCAAAATAACCCATAAGGAAACAACCTGGTGTTGAGTGGCAGAACAWTGCTTAGAATTGTCACCACACCAAGAAGATGCTGGGTTTCAATCTGAACTCTGTGCATCCTCTCCCCATGCATGTGTGGGTTTTCTTTAGGTACTTTTATTTTCTCTCGTAGTCTAACAACATACATGTTAGTGTGTAATTTAGAGTTTGGTAGCTCTAAATTCCCTGCTGTAAATGGTTGTGTGTCCCATTTGTCCCAATGTAAACTGTTCAGGTGATACCCAACATCTCGGAGACGGGCATCAACCCCTGCAACCTGGACYTGGAACAAGTAGTTAAGAGGATGGACGGATGGATGGATGCCAGTCATATTTATCTATTATTTAGTGTCTAATTTGAATCCAATTGAAATTCAAATACTTTATTGAACCAAGTTAAATTACAGTTCACAATGGGATCAAAATGACATTTTAAACTAATGAGTGAGGACTAAGTGGTAAACTGGCTTATGAATTTGTACAGATTTTTTTTGCACTGAAGGGAAAACCAGACAGTAGCGTTTGTTAAATTGATCTTATGACGCATTAAATGATTCCTAGTTAATGCAGCTCCTGTGTATTTGGAAGTATAAAGAAGTTGTAAAGTCCAAAAATTTCTTCTCCCTTGTTAGCAGCTTTAAGACTTTCTCCCTCATATTTTTCAAAGAAGCAACTTGCATCAACAGCAGTGATGCTGTGGACAAACCATGGTGACTTCTCTTTTGATGAGTGACTGCAAAAGGTAAAGCAGTTTATTTTTCCTTTCACTGCACTCGTGTGTCCTACAGAGCAGCTGCAGGCTGACTGTGGCTCTGAGCTCCACATTTATAGTTTTTCTAGAATATTTTTGCATAGGAACACGGCCAACACAAGAGMCACAGCTCTGGGCTCATCACAGAAAAAAATACTAGAATTCTAGATTAGGTGTAAAAGTGACTAAACACAAGAAAGAACACTTCATGTTGCATTGATAGGAGAATTTTAAAATCCTGCAAGACTTTAGAGCACATAAACACACTTTTAACATTGTGGTCAAAACTAGAAAAAAATGAAATGTCTAATTTTTTGTGTTGAAATAAAAACAGATTTTAATCAATTGAAGTTTTACATTTTATTGTAATATTTGCTCTACTTCTTTGAATAGTACATGCCATTTTTGACAAGGATGGGATAATGTTCAACAAAAGCAGCAGAGCTGAATGACCAAGACAACAATGAAAAGGTAAGTGCAGTTTTATTTACAGGTGGAGTTTGGTTTTGGACATCAGCTGAAAAGGAGGAGAACGTAGAAGGTGAGTATTGGTTCTTAGAAGAGTAATTTGTTGTAGATGTTTTCTTGTTAATAAGTGATTCTTTCTTACAGATTTTCCAGAGGCGAGGAGTTCCAAAGGAGGAGGTTTTCAAAGGCAGGTGGCAGTTCTTCAGGCAGAGTGGCTGTGAGTGCTCCGTGGTGAGGTTTTTTGTTTTCTGACCCAACTTGGAGTGAGGACTTCTTAGCATGAGGTGTGGCTTCTGTGAGCAGGTAATCCACCTTGGACAAAGGATGATGAACGAGGTAAGTACAAAAAGATTTTCTTTTACATAGAGTCTAAGAGCTTAACACTACCATWGAGRYAAGATGCATCAGTGTAGACCAACTGGTGAAGGAGCCTTATAAAGCTGCAGCTGATCATCAGATAAATCCCAAGTGTGAGCACTCAGGGTCAGATCACCAATCACCAGGAACACGGGTAGAAGCGATTCTTCACGATTTTAGACATTTTTTTTTCAACTGAGACAATTAAGTACAGTATAGGCAAAAAAGGTACCATTAAAACTACAGTTTAGAAGAATCATGAGATTCATGAGGTTTGAAATAAATTGGTCTTTAAATGCTAAAATACACGTTTTGTCTCGTGCTTAATTTTAAATGTAGAACATCCATTAAAAAAATGCAGATTTGTTCATTGTTGGAAGTAACTYGTTTGATACAATCAGACTTTCAGTTAAAGAAGTTGACCTCTGATGACCTTTAGAAGCAGTCAAGATGCCCAACCACAAGATCTTTATGTTYTGGTAAACAAATCTTTATGACTGTATTATTTACCAATACCCTTTTTTATTGTTTGTATGTTTGCTTTTTGTTTTTATTTYATTTTTTGCTGTTTGTTTCTTTTTTTATGGGTAACAGCAGCCTGGGAGAACATTTTTTTGTTTGTTTTTAAATAAGAGTTCAAGGTGTACTGCATGTTGATTTCAATACATCATCAGCTATTTATTGTTTTCTGTCAATTTTAATTATAAATCTAACTTGTGTAAGCTGTACATCATTGTTAACCATGTAAGATGAATTGTATACACCCTGTTAGAATGTGGAAAGGCAAATTTATCAAACCCTACTTTAGTCTGAGCGCGCTTGTATTGCTGCTACATTTATTGTAAATAATAACAATAAAAATAAAATAATAATACATTTTCTTGCTGTTTTCAGCATCTCAGACCGTGTCAGGATGAAGCTACGTGGTAGAAGATCCCATCAGTTCCACAATCAAGCTTTGCCAGTGCATGATGGCCCCACATCATGGAAACATGATCAGGAAGTCATAAAACGACTTTTAGTGTTTTAACTTTTAACATAGAATTTGATTTGCCACACAGACCCTTTGTCTCAACCTTATCTTATTCATGGATTCTGTTTTCAGCTGATCAGCCATTTTCCAGATCAAGGTTATATTTTTCCATCTTTATCAGTTACTTTCAAATTATGCTTATTATTAAAGTCCACTCTCAGAACAGCTCTGTTCTAATATTTAATGGCTGATGGTGGAAACTCAGTCACAATTACGTGAAGTTTCTAATTGGGGACACCTGTCCCACTGTGTGTCAGTGGTCCTCTGCCTTGTGTTCCTCTTTAAAAAAGACAAATAGGCAGCGCAGAAGATTTACCTTTTAATGACAACACTTTCTGACACATGACAGACTCACGCTGCAGGATTTACCACTCCTTAGCTGCACACATAAAACAGTTTAACGACATTGAAAGATTGTACACGGCACTCGTCTCAGGAGTTCAGAAAAGCATAAAAAAAATTTCAGAACAACGAGAAATGATGGATTCAACAGGAAAATTATTTTTAAAAATATATTTTGTGAGGTTATGCATAAACAGGCTGATGATTCATTTCCATCTGATGATTCCTCCTGAAACTGCTGTTTCCTTCAACCTTGAAACCTGAGAAATCATGACCCAGAAACGTTTTAAACAGTTTGACTTTTGGGAAGGAAAGAAAAATAGTTTCCTAAAACAAGTGTTAAAATACTGCAGAGATTCTGCTGTTTCAGTCATAAATTGTACAACAAAGTCTGGATTTAAAGAACATAAAATAATAATAAAAAATAAACAATCCACATTTTTAAGAGGAAGTCTCTCTTCTCTGAAAAATAAAGGTTGTCTCTGCTGCTCTGGAACATAATGATCAGTGATTCCTGCAGAGGCTGACTGACTGTTATTCATTTCCTATTCGAACACACGACTAATTTGCAGAAATGAAAAGTGTCAAGGTAATGGCAACAGATGCTTCTTGGTTTGTTATTTGGTTGACATTTTATTTATTTGGACAACATATTGGTCCATCTCACAGTGTGTTGGCATTTTCTTGGAAAGCAGAGCCAAGCTATTTTCTCTCTCTCTCCCTGCAGAGCTGTCAGAGTGAGCTAGACAATGGGACACTTTGTTATGTTGACTTGAAATCCTGCTTCCTTCATCCTGTTGCTCTGATTTCATCCATAGAGACTTTTCTTCATTTACAGGAAAAAAAAGCAGAACAAAGAAGTGCAGAAAGTTATGATAGTGTTTATATGCACGTACGTTTAAAGATGAACCTGCAACAATCCAGCTGGTTTTGCTTTTGGAATATTTAAATTTAAATTTGTCCTGCAGTTGAGATTGGAGAACACAAAAGTATATAAATATACAGGGAGGTATAAGTTCTAAACAGATCCAAACAGAAGTGTGGTTCAGATCACATTTGCTGTTTGAAGGTTTTCACTCTCATATTCGGCTGCACCCCAGGCGGCTGTGTTTTTTTTTTTCTTTTTTTTTATCTGGAGAAATGTTGCTTTGTCTCACAGACGAGTCTTTGGTGCATTTGAAGTGTTTGAGTTTAAGGTCACACTGAAGTCTGTGTCTACTCTTCCTGGTGCGCGTTGCTCTGTCATTTTRAAGTTGTGTTGCAACCTGCTGGCGGGCAGGGCAGCCGTGAAGGCTCATGATTTCCTCTGGGAGCTCCACAGCARCTATGGCCACACTCTGAGATTACCTTTACCATTTCACAAACCCTATATGACATTGGTGCAACTGGTTTACTCCTGCGTCTCGAGCCACAGGGTAATGGACTCCATCCTGATCAGTTTCAGGGTCAAAGGTGGAGCTACTTTTCAATAAAACTCTGTCATATGTGAAGGTGAAGTAAACTTTTATTACAGGAAATACACAGTCTTCAACTTTAGAAATTAAACTTAAAGGAAAACAACTATCTTAAACATGCACAAAGAGCAAAAAATCCAGTCAAAAATCCATAAAGTAAACTACAACAATCTGTTTATATTAGTTCTAAAGGAGTCATATCCTGCTTTTAAATCTTTCTTTTTCATATTTAAATCATTCAGTTGGGGTCTATATAAAGGGGAACTGCATTCTGAACTGTCTGAATTCCACCTTACAGTAACTTCATGAGCCGTACTTTCACCCCTTTTCTGAGGTGTGTCTCAGATCAACTCGTTTTGAGGCTGCCTCTTCAGATCCAAATGAGGAGCTTCAAACCCTGCCTCCCTCCAGCTTCCAGTCTGGTCCATTCTAGTTTTATAGCAGGGTTTACATCTACCTAGTTTTGCAGAAGCCTTTGTATTTTGCACATGTCCCCTTGGATGGATGCTAGTACTATTATTAAGATGGATGGATGGATGGATGGATGGATGGATGGATGGATGGATGGATGGATGGATGGATGGATGGATGGATGGATGGATGGATGGATNATGGATGGATGGATCTTCAATCATTAAAACAACTATATTTCCAGAATAAAACTACTAAAGTGGCAGAAACAGGAGATGTCTCCAAACCAATTTTTATTTTTAACCAAAGTAACAACTACAACCCTCCTCCCTCCCAATTCTTAGTCCAATGTGACCTTGTTATGCAAATAAAAGTAACAAAATCCCACTACAAATATTTTAAAAAAAGCATTTTCATCACTTGAAATAATAATAAGCAATTCCCATGTGAATGTCTGCCTGACTGGATTAAGGTTTAATATCTAAATCCAATATGAAGCACATATTAGGGTTCAGAAGAGAGCTTTAGCAAACCCAGCTGGGAAAAGACTTGTTGGTGTGTTGAAGACRGTGCTGACAGAGAGTCATGCTCGGTACATTTGTTGGAAGTGAAGATGAAAAATTTTGGCCTGAATAGTTTAGCAAAAGGTTTTTTAAACAGATCATTTAAAAAAAACTTTTTGAGGTTGGAGTTTGTTGGTTGATTTATTTATTAAGTTTCCTCCTCAAAATGTTTCTAAGACAAACATGCTGGCTCAAAGACAGAAAAACAGGTCTTGGAGTGGTGAGTGGCTTTTATTTTTTTCAAACTGGTAAAGCAGCATTAATATTATTCCTAAAGTTCAAGTTTTTCTTTTTCTTTTGCTGAAGTAGTGTTAACAGGCCCTGGCAGTGTGCTATGTGTTTATTTTTTTTCCCTCTGGCATAGTAATTGACTTGGGTAGAACACCTGTTGTTCCTGAAACAGTGTGATCAAACAGGGCTGCAGTTCTGCCAATTATCTACTGAAAAATGACATCTTGTAAATGATTTCATTGCTACTGAAAGGAGAATATATTAAAGCAGATTCAGGATTAAAGTCCAAGCGTTTCTTGAAAGAATGCATTTAAATTGAGAAAAACTGAAAAGGAAGAAGCGTGTACAGAAAATGGATGGAGTTATAATATGGATATTCCCATATGTCACAGTTAGGATGTTGTGATGCTGAATGACGCTCAACTACAATTACATATTTTTTTCGCTCAGTGTCAGAAAAACTGTTACAATTGTGAGCTGGTCGATGTTGATTGGTTGCGGCAGCCACAAAGATTAATCACATGTAGATGCACATCCACAGAAGAGTATTGCATTCACCAAAGGAAAAAAATCTTTATCTCATAATTACAAGATCCGGATCCCATAATTATCATACGAGATAATATGTCATAATTATGAGATAAGATGTCATAACCATGAGATCCTGATTTAATAAGAGAAAAGTTAAGAAGAGTAATAGCTGACCTACACTACATGAAAAGTGGACAGTGGCATTATTGGATATGGTATGCTTTTACTTCCTCTTAGACACAGAGAAATARAGAGTTTAYTTAAWGTGGATGGCATTAATATGAGCATGTCGATATTGTGCAGTGTCTTAAGTCCTTGGAGTTGTTCAGGTGAAAAGCTCACTCTGATTTGCTGGAAGTCGCTCTCTTCTTGCAGGA